TGTCAGGATTTGAGTTTTGTGTGTTAAGTTTTGGTTTTATTTAGCTGTTCTGTGTTCCCTTTAGCATGTTTTCCTCCTTGTGTCTTGTCTGATCCTTCTTCCTGTGTTTGCCTTCCTGTCGTTAGTTTCCCTGGTGTGTCTGATTGTCTCATTGTGTTCACCTGTTGCCCTTCTGTTTCTCCCTCCTTTACCCAGCTGTTTCTTGTCCCGTGATTCCCCCTCTCTGTATTTAGTCTTGTCTTTCCCTGTGTTCCCCTGTCGGTTCATTGTTTGTCTTTCCTGTCTCCCTCCATGTGGATCACGGTTAGTTCTTGTGTTGTTGTTTCCTTGTGCTACGTTTAGATTCATGCCATGTTTTGTTCATCAGCTTTTAAATAAAGCTCGCTTTTGTTTCTAGACCTTTTGACCTTTTCTTTGTAGTCTACTTTTGGGTCCTACCTTTTCCACGCATCGTATCAGCGACTGTATTCGCCATGACACAGACAGTCTGTGTTTTGTTCATGTTTAACTTTTGTCCAGTTTCTGAACAGATATGAGGAGCTGTGAGCTCGTTGTCCTAACAGCTAACGGCTGATGTTTTGGTTTTCTGATTCAACGTCAGTGGCTGAGATCTTCACTGCTGATTGGCTACCGCGAGAACGTGTCACGTGAATTTTACGCTCGAGTTGAAAAAATTGATTACACACACACACACACACACACACTTCAAAGTATTGCTTGTTCATACAGTTGATTGTTCGAGCTTTACTGTGCACTGCTGTGTGGACAGGTGTCTTTTATACTGATAACGAGTTCAAACGGGTGCCATTAATACAGTTAACAAGTGGAGGACAAAGGAGGCTCTTAAAGAAGAAGTTACAGGTCTGTGAGAGCCAGAAATCTTGTTTGTAGGTGACCAAATACTTATTTTCCACCATAATTTGCAAATAAATTCTTTAAAAATCAGAAAATTTGATTTTCTGGATTTTTTTTTTTCTCATTTTGCCTCTCATAGTTAAGGTATACCTAGGATGAAAATTACAGGCCTCTCTCATCTTTTTAATTGGGAGAACATGCACAATTGGTGGCTGACTAAATACTTTTTTGCCCCACTGTATGTGCAGAGTTTGACCCTTGAAGGCTATTTCTTCTGCTCTGAAATGGAATATATTTCTTACATATTAATAGAATTTTAGATTTTTTTGGTTTGATTTCAGATTTGTGAATGGGAGAAGTAGCCTAGTAGATAGAAAACATACCAAACAGTAATTATTCAAAGTAGAGTATTTCATTTTGTATACTGTAATAAGGAGGCATAGGCCTATTATAATGTTTTACATTATTGATATTAAAAAAGTGATTTGTTTTCCGTCTCATTCGTGTGTTTTTCTTATCAGAGTGAAGTTATTTATTTGTAAGCTCCAAAACCAATGGTTTTCCCTCAATGGCCTTGGTGCCCTGCATGTGGCCTTTGTGCCCTAAAAAAACGTGTGGCACCAAAGGCCAAATGGCCTTGCCCCTAAAATGACGAAATTCCAAGCCTACCTACAAATCTAGATTTAAAAAGGAATTGAAATCTTAAAAAAACACTAAGACATTACTTTAGACACATAAATAAGTCAATGGATAATACAAATGTTTTGCTATAATGAAGTGTCCGTTTTCATCCAGCAGCATCAACATAAGAATTGAAGAAAAATAATCATGTTACTAGGGAAACCAAAATAAAATATTTGTACCTTGATTAACATAAAAATAAAAATATTTGAGGGAATTTCTGGTCGATCGTGAACACAGCATAGCAATTTAAGGATTAGAAAAGCAAATTGTACTGTACCTGGACTACTCACTGGTTCCTTCAGAGATCCAGCAACACAACTGAGGCTCATCATAGTAAACCTATGCCTCTCCTTTCCCATTATCTACACCTCCATTAGACTGATAAGAGTAGTGGCAGCAATATAACCCATACTAATCTTCCTTTGTAAGGTTACATTTCATCACTAAACCAAGTTCATTGACTCTTATTAGATATAACATTGTGTCCTTGATAACAAACCCAGGAACTTTTAAAATCTGAAATTGACCAATAAAGCATCCCTTAGTATTACTGGGTTCACCTGTTTAAATAGTGTGTGAATGGGTAAAGGCCATTAGTTAGTAAGTTAATGATTGTCGTTAGTATGCATTACTTCTTAAATCTTCTTTATTTTGTATGTATATTATTATACATTTCTCAAGATAAATCCCCAAAGTAGTCAATGGTCTCTAGAGAAAAGGAAAATGCCCCAAATATGTGCAAATCTAGAAATATGTTGTATCCATCACATTCACCCTCTTTAAGATGTAAATATTATATCCAGAACGTTTTTCACATTAGTCCATTGCTTTTAACAGAACTGTGCAGCTTCCTTATTTCCCAGTTAATTATTAGTACACCAAGTATGATTAATAAAATATGCTGTTGTAAAAAATGAAGAGTAATCAAGAGGATTTCCAGGAGGGTAATGGCCCCTAGGACAAGAAGTGAAGAGCCTGGGTTTGGAATTTGCTCCTTCTTTACAGCATGTTATTATTCACAGGTGGTTGATATTTCCACAGGAAGGTGGAGGCTAGTCAAAGACACACTTTGATATAAAAACTCAGTTTCAGGTTTTCTCTCACAGAAACCTAACTGTGTGTAAATATAGCTGGAGAAAACAGGGTTGAACAACTCTATTTCATGTCTACAAAAGGGAGCTGATCATTTCAAAGTCACAATTATAGGAGATAAAAATACATGGACATTATGTCACATCTAAAGGAGCTAACTAAATACACAAGTAATTTCGTATACATGTAAAAAACAAAAAAAAACATGCCTTATTAACTTCCAGTATACTTTATCAAACAACATGCCCACTAAGGTTAAAAGACATTCAAATAACACAGTATCACCTACAGCAGGATCAGATATTCAGAAACAGGTCTAGCTTGTTAAGCAAGTGAAATTACAATTGAATGAGCCTCAAACCATTCACCTTATATTTAAAAATGTCCAACTTGAATCAGTAGAGCAAATAACATAAAAGCCTGTTTGTTTATTTCAATAGAATTCTTAGCTTAGACAAACAGCAAAACTGCTTCAAACTGTAACGGCTGATTCCAGTTTGTGGTTTTTGTCTCTGAATGCACAAATGCTGTTTGTATAGCTGGAGATACCGGACACAACTTTGTGTCACACCTGACAAAGAGGAGGCATATCATGCCATTGATTCTGAATCAGACAATTAGTTTTTTGACAAAGAGCCTTAATAGGCCAAACCCAAATGTTGCTTTTTCAAAATACAGCAATGTTACTGTTGAATGCCGAAGTGAAAAAAATATTTAAAGAATAGCACTTTTAGGAACATTCTCAGATCGTTCCTAAAGACAACAAAGGTAAAAATGTGGCTTGTTTTTCTACAACATGGTGGAGGAGACTGTCTTTCTTTGCATTTGCTGTTTGAATGTACAGTTGTGTTTGGCAGCTTGTTTGGTGCCAGCATTGAGCAATATAGGTGTTAAAATATACATTGCAGCAATAAAGGTAACAACAGGAGCTTGAGTCAATGTATTTCATCAACTTAATTCAACTTTAGGTACAGCGCCTAATCATTGGATGCATGTATTCATTGATTTTGAATTGATTGAGGGAGATAAGAGTATCATACATTTTAACATGTATTCTTATCGTATGTAGAATGATTGTACCCGGTAAGTCACAATCCCTCCCTTCTCTGCTAGAGAACATTTAGTTTCGAAAAACAGTAAAATACAGTAAGATGGAAGACGGAGAGAGAAAAGAAAAATGTGCAAGATGTACAAGTCAGTTAAATCAGAAAAAAGGGGGCAAACAGCTTCAAAATAGTTCACTAGACATGTAAATAATGTACTCTCATTCAACACTTAATATAACTTGCGCCATTTCAACGTAGACTCTATGGGTATCCCAACGTGTTACAGTGCAAGATTAATCAAAATCGAAAAATAATATCACAACTCCAATTAAAGATTTAAACATATCCCTGATTCATCTAGAGCTGGTAATGTAGCAATGGCCACCACATTTTACATATTTCATGGCCAGGAGCACTCTTCAGGTTTTAATCAGGTTTAACCAAATAAAACAGTTGGGTGTGGGTCTTTTATATTGATCTAAAGAGATGTTAATTAGAACTAGTTTCACCTGAAAGAACCACCCTGAAACCCTTGACACATGGTAACATTTATTTTCTTTTTATAATGGGTATAATGGCAACTATTTGAACTGATCATTTTTCAAAAAAGAATCAAGCAATATTAGCAAACGTTCTCATGTTCCAGATGATAAATAGTAAGAATTTCCGGAATTTATTTGTCTTTTTTGAGAAGTAAAAATAAAAATCTGAGTGGTCCAATGAAGGAAACGGGCATTTGCCTTGTTAAGGACATTTTGTCGATTTAAATGTGTTGGCAGTGTTTTGGCAAGATGTTGGACCTGACAGGGAAAGGAGGGAGGCGGGTATATATTTATATAACAATTAAGAATATTTTTAATTAAGAATATCTGAAAAACACACATTATAACAAAAAAACAACAACAATGGGGCCAGACCATAGACTGGGCCAGACAGGTCCAAACAAAACAAGTAAACCAGGAAAACTGAACAAGTACATACCCTATCCCTATGGTACAGACCAGGGAGGACAGGGCCAGGTACACGGGGACTCAGGCAAGAACAATATAACACGGGAACATAGACGACAAACCGACAGAGAAGGAAAGACAGGCATAAATACACACAGGACGAATCACAATGAGAAGCCAAAGCTGGGGAGGGAATGCAAAAAGACAAAGTTAGCAGGTGAAAATAATCAGAGAATCAAACAGGCGGCAACAACTACATTATCATGCAGTCTCCAGCAGATGGCATCCTTCAAACGTAATTTACCTGAAAAGAGGGCGGGACCACTTGTGATACCTGCATTTTCCGGAAGTTGCTTTCAAATAAAAATAAAAAGGAAATAAATAGAGATGGTGAATGAATTTCCACCAGTTCAGTGTCTCTCCTGAAGATTCACATCCTGCTGCTCTGGAATAAGACACGGATCCATTCACAAATGATATTCTACACGTAAGGTTTTGTTTGGCTTTCCCTCAACGAAAGTTCAACTAGGAAAACCTGAAACAAGAACCAGTTCTGTGAATCTTCTTCCACACAAGGAAACGTGTTAGTATCTGGCTGTTTTAGTTACAACAATGACTCCAGTAACAATTTGGCAAACTTTTGATTCAGCGTTTTCGGTGAGATTTTCAACCATGAATACCATGTTCCAGCAAATAAATCGTAAGTAGTTGCTGCTTTTCTATGTCTTTATGATGGGTACCCGAATATAATTGAGTTTTGCTGTCTGTCGGTCGTGCTAAAAATAACATTTTGATTAGTATTTTCACAGTTTTAATGGTATTTTTTTCAATCAAATGCTCCTCTGAATAATTAAGGAAAAGTTGGACCCCTAATCAGTATCAGTTTTTTTAAATTTACATCACGTATTTCCACTGGCTTTACTTGTCTTAATATGTATTTGTTTAGATTTCAATCATCAATTTGATCGACAGAAATGACTGCAACAATTTAAATTATTGAAAAATCGTTTCATTTAATAAGTCCCTGTTTCTCAAAGCAAATCTATAAATTTTCTTCCTGTTGTCCATAAAGGTGAACTTAATGTTGTTTTTTTAACTGAGAATAAGCCATGTTAAGATCACATTTTGCCCTGACAAAAATATATAATGGCTCAGAGTTTTTTTACTTAATAATTTAAAGTGATAAACTATAAGTATCATTGGGCTTGTAATTCATCAATTTAAAATAAGGAGGTGCAGTCAGGAGCTCATCGCACAAAAATGTGTTTCACAATAGGCATTCCTAAATGCAATGTAACCACCCAACGAGAGAGACAGGTTTCCCTACTGTATATGCACTGTCATGTACTACTTTTTTACTTCTTCTGCAGCCTAGTGATAATATTATGAATTGTTATAATGCCATCAGCTTGAAGACAATAAGTCCAGGGTTGCAAATGTAGTGTTTGCTGATAATGGGGATGGATTGAAAAGTACTATGTAATAATCCTAATGAAAACCTCCAACTATTTTGTAAGATATGAGTAAAAGTTAGTTTAAAAGTAAAGTAGCTGTAGCTTAAATCACAATCTCACTTTAAGGTAGCTACAGTAGCTGTTGGACATAGCTGTTATCAGCTGATGGAGTTGGAGTTTGCCCATTTTTCATGACATTTTTAAGATGTTTACATTTCCAATTCATCTGGCTGCCTTGAGGTCTCTCATCAATGTTGGCTTAAACGTTTAGGTCGCAAATCAAAGTGTTACATTTAGTCACAACAAGGCAAACTAATTTGCTGCAGTAGATTTTGTGTTTCAACCAAAAACTCCAGGTAAGCTAATAAATGGACCTTGAAGGTACCGGTATATTGATAATTTTTTTAACTCTGTGGTCAAATATTCTACGGTACTGGAATTCAAACTGAGCTCAAAATAAATGGGCCTAAAAAACCACAAGGACGACTATCCATCTATCACAACATATCTAAATATTGAATTTGCATTCGTTATGTGAACATTTATTTCCTATAGTGCCAGTAAGCCTTACAGATGGAAACATTGCCATGTCATTAAGAGGAAATAGATGTTTTATTGGGAGCATAACAATGTTTTCCTTTGATGACTCCTTGTGTGCCCAGTTATCTTTGTTTGTTTGTCTTTTTAACTCTGACCTTCTTGTTTTTAGAAAAGCATTACCTTTATGCCCTTGGACTGGTGGTTCCCTGGTGCATCTATCGCTGGTACAAGGGTAGCAGGAGAGTGACCAAAAAAGAAGACAAATATGTCTACATCACTGGCTGTGACTCTGGGTTTGGTAATCTCCTCGCGAGACACCTTGACAAGCAGGGCTTCAACGTGATTGCCTCCTGTTACACTGACAAGGGTGAAGAAGAGCTGAAGAAGATCACCTCCGACAGACTGGCGACTCTTCACTTGGATGTTGCCGACTCAAAGAGTGTGGAGAAAGCCGCAGCTCTCATCAAGACTCTGGTTGGACCGAAGGGTAAGTGGCTTTGAGTTGCTCATTCCCTTTCATCACAAGTTTCTAATATCCTTACACGTTTAGGGTAAATATAGTTAGGTTATCTAGAGCAGCAACAGTAGAGAAGCAACAGTAGAGAAGCAATGATCATTCCTTTTCTTTTATTGCCCAAATCTCATTCATTGCCCCCCCAAACAATGTCTGGTGAGTCCATAGTCATGAATTGCACATTTTAAATTGGGTGGTGCTGATCATCTCTAGAGCCTGCAGACTGAAATCAGTTGAAAACAGATACTGACCCTCTGAAATGATTCAAATCGACCGATCAGCCCCTCAATAATTGACCTAATATCTTGTCAGCTTAATCGTTTTAAAATCTAATCATGTCATGATATCATGTCAATTAAAGGGTTATGTGCCAGTGTTTCAGAATAACCTGTGATCATGTTTGCTGGTGGGGATAGCCTGAATACTTTGGTGGTTGGTTGTTGTAATGACAAATATTTCTCACCTTTTCTGTTTCCCTTTTGTTTTATGCATGCCCAAATGTCCAGTGCATGTTAAAATGTCACCTACCAATTTATATATTACCATTGTTCTATGGCCTATAAGTAGAGTAATGCTATTCTCGTAGCATCCTGAATATTTTAGCAGCTATTGGTAGGTCAATTATTATTATACTTTTTCTCTTGGCTTTATGGCTTAGTATTATCTTGTTGTGTTCTCCAGGCCTCTGGGCCGTCGTGAACAACGCTGGAATCGCTCTGCCCTCCGGCCCCACGGACTGGATGACTATATACGACTACAAGAACATGCTGGCTGTCAACCTCTGCGGGGTGATCGACGTCACACTGAGCGTCCTCCCTCTCATCAAGAAGGCCAAAGGCAGAGTGGTGAACGTGGCCAGTGTGTTTGGGCGAGTGAGCGCCTTTGGGGGGCCTTACTGCGTGTCCAAGTTCGGAGTGGAGTCCTTCAACGACAGTCTGCGGTAAGAGAGATGTTGCCTTTTAATGCTGCACACACATTGTTATTTTCACAAGTATCTTTTTGACTTACAGCCAACAACCTTTGTGTTACAGGCTAAACATGGCACCGTTTGGCATTAAGGTAGCATGCATTGAGCCAGGCTTCTTCAAAACCAATGTGACTGATACAGTTGCGATGAAAAAGAACCTGAGGCAGCTGTGGGAGCGACTCCCTCAGGATGTGAAGGAGGACTATGGACCTGATTACTTGCAAGCATGTGAGTCACTCTACATTTTTAAATGTATAATAACCTTTTTTTAATTGTTATAGCTCAAAACTTCCCTGATTAATTCACCGACATTGATGAGATGGTTTGTCTAAATCTTCACTTTAACATAAGTCATCAACTTTTCTCTCCACTGTCTAATATTTGAAGACTTTAATTTAAGTATTTTTTGTAGTTTAAGCAAAATCCTAATTAAATGGCTTATTTGTGTGATGTACAGTATATTTACTTGGATAAAGAAAGCAGAACAAGTAGTGAAAGTGGTAGTGAATGAATATAATAAGTGCCAAATTAAACATATTTTTCCAAGACACTTCCATATTATCAGGACAGGAACTAATTACAAATGACTAGATCTGTAAATTAAAGTGTTTCCCTGCATCTCTTTCAGCTATTGACATGTTGGAACAAAGGTTTAACATGTTGACTGATGGGAACCTGATGAAGGTGGTGTACTGCATGGAGCACGCCATCTCTGCCGTTTACCCTCAGACTCGCTACTCCGCTGGGTGGGACGCCAAGTTCTTCTGGCTGCCTGCGGCCTACCTGCCAACCAGCATCGCTGATAGGCTTTTCCGTGGAAATGCCCCTCCGTTTAAACCAAAAGTATAAGTAGTTCCTGCCAAATCAGTTGTGTTAGAAAAACATGGGCTAATTTAAAGATTTCTTGTCACTTTTATATTACTGCTATAAATGTTTGTACATGAAGGTTCGTTGAAAATACATAAACATTTTCTGTATCATCATCAATGTTTGGCTCTTCATTCTTTCTTTGACCCCTAAGAAATTTGCATGCTTGCTCTATTGATTATAAGATCTAATCTAAAGCCTTCGCAGATAACGGACTTTGATCTCTGACAATAACTTTTGTTTCTTAGGTTATATGATCGTAAACAAAGAGTCACAACGACTTGTAAAGCTTTTGTTATTAACCGCTTTCTCTGTTTAAAAACCTTCACATATTTATTTCCCTCTAAATTCAGAGAGCAATCTGTCACCTTTATGCAGAGTTGTTGTTTTCAGAGTTTATTTGAGGGAATGCAGTTATCAAATCCAGGGGTCATGAAATCTGGTGTCGCCTATTACACAACCGCATGTTGGTGAAACATTTAACTCTGCTGTTATATCCACTATGGACCTTGACACTGCAGACGCACTGAAAACGATCATCCTATCAACCTGAGACAAATAAACTGAGAAAGGATTGTAACTTCAATTATTCTCTTCTTCTGAAGACCTGCAGCCATGGTATGTTTGCACTATTATTTTACACATCTTGAATGAGTGTGAATGTGCTTTGTTCTCATTGGAAGAACCCACACAGGATTTGGATGGACCTAATTATTTTTTATTTATTGGAGTTAAAATTAAGTGACATATGACTGGTTTTGTTCTTTTTAACAAAACTAGCACATGTGATTTTAATGCTTTCTGGTGGTTTGATTTGGTTTGTCTACATTTTTAAAAGAAATACCAGCACAGCCAGACTAAGTGTTACACTCAAATAAAAGTTGCGAAGATACCATAAAGCTCTTAAGACGTATTCCATTGTGCTTCCTTTGAAGGGAAATTGTATAAAAAGGTTTACTGAAAGATACAACAACACATCTTGCTTACCTTGTGTTGGTTTGTATGCAGATTGGTTTGATCTGATCTCCACTGCTAAATACAATGAAAGTTAATTTGTTTGTGGTAAACAATGTATTATAACCAAATATGGTATATTATTTGTCTTGGGTTAAAATAACAGATGCATTCTTGTGAAAGGAAGATTTCACCATGTGTTTGTGGTGGAGCTTATTTAATTCCTGCCTAGCCTGTACTGGAGTTATGTATTTGAGTCATTTCAGACTGTGTGCATGTACTCATTATGAAGTAAATGTAGCAATACCACAGTGTAGAAATACTGATACATGTTAAAATCAGCAAAACTATTGAAAAGTGTCATGGCCAGATAAAGCCACTAGATGGCGCTGGAGCAGTAATTAGCTTTTGAAAACATTAGGAATGTGTTTTGGAGCCTTCTCTGATCATGTTTAGAGGTTGGTTCGAAATTAAAATGAGGGGCTGAGTTGCCCTTCAATGTCTATGTTTTTGTTGATAGCTACAAGTTAATATCATACAGTGTATGTTTAATTTGTAGGTTATCACAAATGGGGGGCCTTTAGGGGCCTCTGGCAAAGAGATTTAGTGAATATTGACGGATAAAACTGTTATTTATGTGTCCTTCACTTTGGTGCATTTCTCACATCAGAATTGAACTCCTGTCCATATGTATTGAACACATTGGAAATACTTTGGCATATGTAAATGATAAGGTGCAATTCTCTGTTGTTTCCTACATTATCAATTGCGTGTCATACATCAAAATGTGTTATTCGTTTTCTCTGTCTACAGCTTTCATACTATGCATATCTTATATAACTGTCCATGAGACTCTTCCTGTAAAGAGATCCTGGATTGAATTATTGTAGTCTGAATCATGACATTAACCAATAGGCCCTGCCGTTTGATTAACCAGTTCATTAAAAAAGAAATCACTTTAGCAAATGGTTAATAGAGGCCTTGGGTATTCCTTTTTAGCTTTCCATGTTTGTGAGTCATCTAAGATGTTTGAACTGAACAAATACATCTAACATTTCTCCACTCAGGTTTTGACAGACAATCTGATGACGTATTTAGTAGAGGTAAGTTGATGTATCTTTGTTGGCACAATTTCCTTAATTATTCCCTTCTACTGTAAGTTTTACAGAGAAGAAGAAGGAAAAAGAAGCATGATGCCATATATTAATATTGAAATCATAACAAACTTATTTCTAAAGCACCTTATATACAAGAAATATGGCTAAAAGTACTTAAAACTGATAAAAACAGTAACATTATTAAGTAACAGTTAACAAATGAAGTTTTTAAGCTTATTTTTGCTCCTGTTGAACATGACCGTGACAATTTGAGATTATTTTAGTTTTTCATACCTTGACCTTTTTTTCTTCTCTTTGTTATCATTATTATTATAATTATACTTATTGTTTGTTTTGTTTCTGACATGTTCAATACATTGACTAATAAATACAAAAAATAAAACAAATTATGTTAGAAAGAAAGCTATTCACAAGAACTAACAAAAGGACATTTTAGAGGCATCAAAGTCAAATGTTTTGTGTGTTTTAGGTAATGCTGTCACACCTGGCGTTCACATGTGCTTTACTCCTGGCCTCTGTCGCTGCGATCCGCCGGTTCATCAGAGAGTCCTACAGGGTGGGGGGCTTCGGGCAGAAGCATGTGTTCATCACAGGCTGTGACAGCGGCTTCGGGAACCTGCTGGCCCGGCAGCTCGATGGGAAAGGCCTCCACGTCCTGGCTGCGTGTCTCTCAGAGGAAGGGGCAGCAGACCTGGCAGCAGCGACCTCCTCCAGGCTAAAAACCCTGCTGCTGGACGTCACAGACAGTGAGAGCATCAGGAGGGGGGTGCAGTTTGTGAGCAGAGAGGTCGGAGAGCGAGGTGAGGCGGCAGGAGGTGCTCACAGATAGGGTGCCAGTCAGAGGGAGGCACTGGGAGAGACAAAGCCAACCTAGACCATCAACTCTTCCTCCTCCTATAGGCCGGGAGACCATACTTACCTCATAGTCTGCATTTTTTTACAAGACAGGAACAGAATTAAGCTTCTCCAAACATAAATGTTATTGATAAAATAAAACAAAGTTTATTTGAGTTTATCAAGACTACGTTTGATTGTGTAGGTTTGCGTAGTGGACATAACTCCTAAAAATATGTGATGTTAATATACACTGATTTATTGGCATCTTAATAACGATTAGATGCCAATCCATAATTTGCACTGGGGACATTTTATAAAAACTGGTATTACTTTTCAGATTTTATTAATCAAGTACATCTTTTTTTTTTTTTGTACTTTTATTGTCATTACACAGTAGGCCTACTTACTATGTAACGAAATGGTTTCTCTGCATTTGACCCGTCCTAGTGTTAGGAGCAGTGGGCTGCCATTAGTGTGTAGGGAACGGAACGGTGCCTTACTCAGGGACACCTCGGTAGCACCTGGTCTTGCCGGGACTTGAACTGGTGACCTTCCAGTTGCCAAGCCAAGTCCCTATCCACTTCGCCACCACCGCCCTGTACCGCCCTGTACGGCCCACATCTGTAGGATTTATGGGATTTTGTCAGTGCAGCAAAACAAAAGAAACCCAAACAGAATGAGAGTAAAGTTTACCATCAGAATTCAAATGTGTAAAAGAAACTAATCTAAATTAGTGCAGAGTTAATGTAAATAGATAAATACAAATAAAACCAATATACATAACTTATTATTTCTTAGGTGTTCACAGATTCCAGTGCAAAGTGTGTAATGTGAAAAGTGAAAGCACAAGGAGATCAATAACTTTTTTTCTTCAATCGAGACATTCACCAGTTTGCTGCCGCCCTATACGGCATATATATGAGAAATTGATTAAGCCAACTACAAACATATTTATATGATCAGTGAATATAATCTCAAACATCAATCCTCTTTCTCTCTCCTCTTTCCCCTGCAGGTCTGTGGGGTCTGGTGAATAACGCTGGCCGGTCAATCCCCATCGCTCCGACAGAGTGGACGAAGTTGGAGGATTTCACAAAGGTTTTGGATGTGAATCTGATCGGAGTAATTGATGTGACGCTCCAGTTTCTGCCTCTGCTGAAGAAGGCTCAGGGCAGGGTGGTAAATATGGCCAGTGTTTTGGGCAGACTGTCTCTGATTGGAGGAGGATACTGTCTGTCCAAATGGGGAGTGGAAGCTTTCTCCGACAGCCTCAGGTGAGACAGCAGCTTTCACATTTGTTTAGGATATAGCAACTACTGAATAGGGTTTATCAGAAACAAGAAAAACCTTCATGTTCAGCACACATTTCCAATGGATCGTTTTTTTAGAGGGATTGCAACCCTCCGGAGGTCAATGAACATCCCTTTGGTTTCACACACAATACATATTATAAGTATTCACATCAGTCAACACCCAAATAAAACAATATGAAAATGTTCAACAATACAAGTAAAAGTCCAGCAATTATCAGAACATGGATCAAAGTAACAAAAGTGCAAGTACTTTAGAAATATAAACCCCTACAAGTGATTTTTATTATTGCATTTTTTAGGGTTAAATCAGTGGCTTCGTGTAATTATTATTAGATAAGTTTACCATTGGGGATCTAAACAGTTATTCAAATACTTAAAGTACTTAAATAAGTTTAGCGGGGTATTTGTAATAAATGGTGGATCCACTGCTTTAATATTGAGCAATGTGTTCTATTCAAAAAGCTTATATGTTTTTTGCAAGATGAAAATATGTTATCTTTCTTCACCTGTTTTTAGTTTATAGACTAGGTGCGAAAACTATTTACATCAGACATTTAAAAAAAGGGTCACCGGAATGTTTTTCCTCTTCTTTCCAGGAGGGGCATGCAGCAGTTTGGCATCAAAGTGAGCATTATCGAGCCTGGTTTCTTTAAGACAGCTATTACCAGTGTGGAGCTGATTGACACTGACCTGAGGAGGCTGTGGACCCGCCTCCCTCAGGAGGTCAAAGACTCGTATGGAGAAACATACTTAGAAGACTGTGAGTGGAAGTACAGTCGATCACTATCACCAACAAATAGTTTCAAATAAAAAATCCTCATGTCTCCTCTGCTCTGTGTTTTTCCTCGCCAGATGTGAAGGCTCAGGAATTCTCCATGGGCATCCTGTGCAGTACAGATATCTCCAAGGTGACCAGGTGTATGGAGCACGCGCTGACGGCTCAGTTCCCACGCACACGCTACAGCGCAGGCTGGGATGCCAAGTTGTTTTGGATCCCTCTGTCCTACCTCCCTTCATGTGTGTCAGACTTTGTTGTCAATATGCTTCTTCCTTCACCTAAAGGGTAACAAAGAAAGAGGCAACTAAACTAAACGATATGACGGTTTTTCCCAAAGTTTTTAAAGAAATGATTTGTGACAATACATTTTTTTTAAAAGTGTCAAGACTGTTACAAAATAGGACATTTATTGATTTCATGTCCCAGCAATTTAAACCATATGTTGTGGATGATCACATATACAGATTTTTTTGACATGTCCTTAATATGATACGAAATAAATCATTCTGTAAAGTTAAGAACTTCTTCACCGTGTTTACATAATGACAGTGTACATCTGCATCCTCAGGTCACGTGTTGCTAGAGAATCAACTGCTTAAATGAATTTACATTGAAAACCGACAAGGGCACGTTGGAGTATTGCTCCAAGCTGATGTTGGCCATTGTTCCAAAATTATTAGTGAACAGTGATCATGCTGATTCAAAGTCAGGGAACAAAGTGATTTTGATTAAGAGTACAGTATGCTTTGCACACGCTTTTTACACCTGTTTACACTGGAGCAAATATCTTTGTAAAATTAAAAAGCAATTACTAAATTCCAATTACTCTTGTTTAGTTTCCAGCCCTGAAATGAGGTATATAAACATGTAAGATTTAGATACATCTTCAGTTTTGTTCAGTGGCAATTACTCAACACATTTCTCTAACAACCTTTGATCATTTTCGTGCTGTACATTCAGAATGCCGGTCACTTTTACTCTGTTATTGTGTTTATGCTGAACTATTCATAGGATCTATTTCAAAGATATTTTCTGACAAAATCTTACTGTTCAAATTTACAAATATACAACTTATTTATAAACATTTCTATCAGCAGCTTCAGTGCAAAGATATACATTTTGTACATCAGAATAAAGAAAACATTAACACAAGAATTGGCATATGAAATGTCAAAAGGCATAGTCACAGAGGACTTATTTTCTTCATTCTTTAGAAATGTATTTCTCTTTCCTAAAACAATTTGAAGTTTTATACACAGGCTGCATAAAAAAATAAATTCTGTGCAAAGTGTGTTTCTTTTTCTGATTCCTCGTCTGCGAGAGAGGGGTTATACGTCGCTGTCCTCTTTCACGAGGTTGGCTGTGTCTTTGAAACTGTCCTCGGTTGGAGAAAAGGTGCTCGGACGTTCCCTCTTCCGAGGTTTGGCGGGGGGGGCAAACGGAGAGGGCTCGGGGGCCGCAGAGTCCCCGCTGCTTCCTACTGGCTTGTCATCCTTCATCTGTGGAACAACGAACGCAGAGGGTAAACAAGCCAAAAGAGAACACGTTCATACCTTAAATAGTGTCTTAATACTAACCTCTGAATATGAAGGGTTTTCAAACGTGGCGCTTGGCTTTAATTTTCGCTTGAATAAGCTCCACTTCGACTCCTGCAGAAAAACACAAACAGTGAGGTGGCATCACACAAATAAAAATACTTACATTGTTTTATGAACTGTTTTTTCATTTTATGATTCTTGTAAGAGTCTTAATAAATGGCTTATTGCTTAGTTGTTCTATTTCTGTTCTTGTACATTTTCTTAGGTCTATCTTGGAAAAGAGAGAAATATAAACCCATACTCCGGACATGGACTCACCTGAGCAGGATTGGTGTTGACAGAAGTTGTGTTCACAGTGACTGCACTCTGATCTCCGTGATATGCCGGGTTCACAAACTTGTTCTCCAACTGTTCACCACTCACATTAACTGTCACCTGTTGAGGAACACAATGTCAGTTTCATAATCCATGAGGATTGATCTGATTGGCTTAACCATCAACATTTTTGTTTGTTTTGAATGGTTAATATAATCATCAGGAGGTACATCCAGAAATCTCTGTTGGTGCTGAAAAGCAACAAAACATACTAGCATTTTTGCTCTTTATATCTTTTGTGTGCACTAATAGGATACATGTTGGTATTGATAAACCTAAAATCCAATGACCATCATTTTATAAAAGGTAAAAGGATAACCCATTCCCTATCTCAAAGCTAAGGAGGTCAAAATACCAGAACTTGTCTTATTTAATCTCAAGCTCACAATCCACAGACATAATCTTACATGTTACAACATTAAGCCTACTGCAGGGCATTTTGATGAAATACCTTTTTGTAAGAAAGACTGTGGAAACACATTTCCTTTCACGGAGGAAAATAGGTGAAGGAAACCGCTTTTTATTACTCATGATCCATGAGGTTTTTTATTTCTAAAATGTGGGAGAAAAAAACATGAATTCATTCATGAATGATACCTGTGTGGCGTGGATGACTGCAGGATCACTGGGCGCTCCAGGAGATGTTGCGTATAACGGGTTCTCAAACGTGATTGGCTGCCTCCCAGCTTCCAGGGCGAAATTATCATCCTATAGGGGGAAAACATTTTGAGTTTATTTCTTGTTACACTCATAAAGACACGCCATCAATTTATTTTTTACTACTAATTACATAAGCGGTTTTAACAGTCAAGTAAAAATACCACATAGTACTTTGGATTTCGAGTAAAAAATGCTGATAGTTCACTTTGAGTGACTTAAGGAAAAATTCGAACTGCTCAGCGTGCTTCCAGGGCTCACCATCTGCATGGCTGTGTCAATGAATGACACTCCAATGTGTGCCGGTCCCAGATCAACATTATCACCGGAGCGAAACGTCACCCCGTTCCCAGTGTCACCGGACTTCACCAAGCTGCTGAGGCTGGACAAAAACAAAACTCTGTAAACTTTGATCTGAATTCTGCCTGCATCAACTTCTGTAGTTTTCATTCGTAAGCAGAAACAGAGAGTAAAAAACAAAAACAATGAGGTACCTGGGTAGTTTGGGCATGGAGGGGATGAACGATCCTGTTCGTTTGTAGTTGAGGAAAACACCGACAGCCAGAGCTCCAGTGATCAGGATGATGATGACTGCCAGGAGAACAGCCACAGCTACAAAACAGTTTAAAAATATTTAGTCTTAAGCATATTAAAACCTTTCAGGTTGTGCTGATCATAAACAATCCTACTTTAATAAACATTTAGCTGTTTACTGTTCATTCCTTAAATGACCTTTTTAGTTTGTTTAACAATTGGAGAAGTGAAACAGTGATCAAATCAAGTGTTACAGATTAAAGATTTTGGCATGTCAAGACTAAAAAAAATTGCTGACGCAGACTTTTTTGTTGCTCAGGTTAAACACACACGCTTTTAGGATAGCAACAACTGAATATGGTTTATCAGAAACAAGAACAACTTGCATGTTCAGCACACATTTCCAGTGGTTTTTTTTTGTTGAGGATTGCCATCCTCCAGAGGTCAATACACATCTCTTTGGTTTTACACACAATAATTCAATATTAGAAGTACTCACATCAGTTAACACCCTAACACAACAATATGAAAATGCTCACTGATACAAGTAAAAGCCCAGCAATTATCAGAAAATTGATCAACATAAACCCCTACATGTGATTTATTATTATTACATTTCACATGTAAAGTTTTTCCTCGTACGATGTGAGGGTCTAAGGTCAGAGGGTGTCGCTTTCTCATATTGATATTCTGCACAAATTGTGCTGTTGTATTTACTGTATAGTGTCCTTACTGTAAGGTAATTACTGTATGTACAGCACTTTGGCTCGACCAAAAATCGTTTTTAAAATGTGCTATATAAATAAAACCTGATTTGATTTGACATTGATTTGGTTGATCATGAAGCTTTTTATTGTTTTAGCTGTTTAAGCTGGAGCTGGTTTGAACTATGTTACAAACAGAGGGTTAATGGATAGAGGATAAGTTTATCATTAGGACCCAAACAGTTATTCAAATAAACGACTTAAAGAAGTTTAGAAAGGTATTTGTTCAATTCACTGTGGTCAAGTCACAGTCAGGTAGATAAACAAGAAGTGTGATCACGCTCAGCCTTGATCTGCTCCAGTAGAGCCAACAGTTTGAAGGACTCCCTCAGGTTTTGAATGGAAGAATTTGTTGAGTCGACATTTGAAGATACATGGGGGAGAAGGTAGCCCAAACTCAATGTACCCCTGAGTCTTAAGCACTGATTCCTCAGAAACTGAAACTTAAAAAAAATGGATACAAATATAATTAACTGATGAACAACCATACCTGTTCCTCCTGGAGCGCCCCTCGACTTCCCCATCTCGCAGTAGCTGCCCACATAACCGTACAGACATCTGCAGAAAGGCATGATCATTTGGTTACAAGAGGAAACAACATCTTGAAGTGTATTTCAAACAAATTGAGTGCCATTAATATCTTGCATTACTGGATATGACTCAATGAGAATCGCTCCATCACCGGTGTGAATGTCTCCTACAGCTAAACTCACTTGCACTTGGGCAGACCGCCTTCATCAGTGTAGCAGGTTCCACCATTCATGCATCTACATGCAGCGGGCATTGCAACGAGTGGCTCAATGGCTGCAGGAGCAAAAGCCAGGCATACACAGAATCAACAACAAAACAAAATCACAGCACAGAATTCACAGAACCACACAGGAGCAGCCTGACACGTACTGAATGAAGAATGGATTTACAAATGAGATGCAACACGACAGGCAACACCAGAGAGCAGGCAGCAGCGGTTTACCTGCGTCACATTCATTGGAGTCAAACTGCACAGGAGAGGAGCCCTGAGGGCAGGCGCAGGTGTACCCCCCCGGCCGCAGGAGACACAGGTGGCTGCACACATTCTTACAAGGGTTGGGTACTGAGGAGGAGAAAACAAAAGAACATCACTGTTAGATACAGTTTGATTATTGCATTACTTTTTTATTCTTTTAGGCTAATCATCGTGTCTCTTTACCTCTTTGTTATTGCTGCCTTTCTAAGCCAGAAAACAAAAAGAGGGTCAATCTATATATTCTGTCTGTGTTGGATTTAGTAGATATATTCAAACTTTCTAAGATAAAATAAAGTGCGTTTTTTTGCAAACATGTCTGCTTAAAGTTTTCAAATCCATTTACTTCTGTGTTTTTATCATGTGACCGACCGATTTCCCAAATGGGGATCAATAAAGTATATACTGTATAATATCTATCTATCATCTACCGAAAACCCTTTCTTAGTGTCTTGCATTCAGAGGGATGAGTGTGTCAGCACTGCAGTAATCCAACATCGGTTCATGTGATACCTTAAACCTGACATTCAATGATTGCATAACATGTTCTTTCTTTATAAAACTCCCTCTGTGTTCTCACCTGACTGGTTGTGTCGTTGCTGCTGGTAGATGCGGACTTGAGTCAGCCATGGGTTGATGGTTAGAACCTTGACTTTGTGTCCTATCCCAAACTTGTTGGTCTTCCACACTTCACCTCTCTCTTTTGTTGTCCAGTACACATGACCCTCAAACACATCCAGGCTGTAGGGATGTCCAATGTCTGAAATAGAGAAATTCAACCAGTGAGACTAAGAGCACTTTCCAGTTGGATGTTATAATTAAGAATAATAAAAAACGTCATAACTAAATGCATAATTTTAATGACCGGTTCAAATATCACCATGCCAATCAGGAGTTACATCAGGTAGAGAGCATATTATTATCGAGCTACAGCTGCCATTTTACATATGAATTAATAACTTGTTTGTTCATTACAGTTGACAATGGCCTGACATACGGTATCTACTGTACAGCATGGATTATATTTACTATTCCTTTTTTGTTATGTTATGTTTTAAAAAATGTTTGGGGGGAGGGTGGTGTATTTCTTTTAGCAATCAGGAAGGGGCCTTAAGTCACAATAGGTTTACAATCACTGTTTTGAATCACCACTATTATTTGAGTAGATTTTCTTTGCATATCAGTGCCGCCCATACAACTTCTTCATTGTTTGTGTTTGTGCACACTCAGAGTTCTAACCTCCTGATATGACGATCTTCCTGTCACTGCCGTCAGGCTTCATGGACTCAATGATGTTTTCCTTGGAGTCACACCAGTAGATCCTGTTCCCATTCAGAAAGTCTAGAGCCAGACCGGTAGGCCATCCCAGCTCGTCCTCCTTCACCAGCACCTCTCTGTGCTGACCGTCCATCCACGCTGCTTCTATTCTGGGTTTCCTGCCCCAGTCTGTCCAGTACATCATCCTGCACACAGACATAATCAAAGACAGAACATTATTTATTTGTCCTATTTGAAATCCTCCCTATACAGTATAAATAAATCAAGGAAGGGAAACAGCCTCATACCCCAGTGATGGATTGACAACAATAGCAGCGGGCTGGTCCAGGTCTGTGTGGATCAGCCACTTCCTGTAACGCCCATCCAGTTTGGCCACTTCAATTCGATTGGTGCCTGAATCTGTCCAGTAAATGTGCCTGTAAAAACATGAGGAACACATACTGAGCAGCTGAACAACATTTAGAGCAACCTCTGCAATGGTTGAGTCATTATTTTGGATGTACCCGCCAACCCAGTCCACAGCGATGCCGTCAGGATTGGCGATGTATCTCAGGTTCATATCCACCTCCTTCACCGGGTTGTTGCCGTTATCGTTAAATGTGGTCATGTAGGCGCGTTTGATAGAGCCAAACTGAGACCCCCGACCCAACACTGTCCAGTACACAACACCTACAGCACATCAGGGGATACAAGTTCATTTAACTTTTTAGAATACATATTTTTGAATAGCTAATATCAGAACCAGAAGAAGTTTTTTAAAACAAACACATAAAAAACAGCAATGAAATGTACAAAACAATATTTTAAAAATAACAAGTCAAGCATAAATGGAAGAGTGAACTATGCTTTAATCTCTATGTTAAGAATAAATTACAATGTTAATCATTGGTTGAGAATATAAAATCACCCTAAAAGTGTAGTGTAAGTCTTTAATAGTCTTTTAAAAGAATAGATTGATGTAGCGAGATGGCGTTTCTCATGCAGGTGAGGCTTAGGGTCAGCCTATTCCTGCCTGATTAATAACCACATTAAACATTAAAGGTAGAGAAGAAGTCTTACTGAGTCCTTGTCCCTCTGGATCCCACAGGTAGTCTAAAGCTTGGATGTGCTCAGCATTGTCCACGTAGTCTGAATACTGCTCAGAGGACAGGTTGAAACGCCGGATGCGAACGTTGTCTGGCAACAGCAGCACCGGGGGGTTTCCTGTACAGGGATAAGGGAGGGATGAATGGAAAGAGTTCGGCTTATCTCACTCGAAAAAAGGTAACATTTAAAAAAATTGCTCCACCAAATGAAAATCTGCTCAAAATATTGTAGATCAAACCCTGAAGACTCTATTTATGTACCTACCATAAATACACAAAGAGGTCTGTGACCCCAACTAGCTCCTGAACAGCAATGTTAAATAGTTACAAACAGGGTTCCACGGGTAATAAGTCAAGACTGAAACACTGCTTTGTGCGCCAGTCAACTCTCAAACTTAATTCCACATCGCATTTAAATTAGAGGGTCTTAAACATGTGGTTTTAATGTTAGGGTTAATGTATGTATCCTTGTATCTGGACTTAAATGGAGCCGATTTGATTACTGCAAGAATATTTTCAGACCTGATCTGATAATCATCATATCATGAAGACATTTTTTTTTCAGTGAATGCCGAACTCTTACCCTGGGCAGCGCACTCTGTCCCACGCGGCTCCCCAAAAGAAAGAAAGCCCTCAGCACAAAAACACTCGTAGCTGCCCTTCGTGTTCTTGCACTCCTGAGGACACTTGCCAAACACCTCACACTCATCCACGTCTGTTAACAAAAGACATGAAAAAAGGAGATAAAACATCAAATGTAGAAAACTACTTGTGTGTTGGTGTTTGAATGGGTTGAGTATATGAATAATGAATTGGACACTAACCTTCACAATTGTGCTTTTCTGTCTCTCTGGGCTTGTAGCCGGGCCGGCAGGAACACAGGATGCCTCCCTGCGTCAGGTCGGTGCAGTTGTGTTCACAGATGTTGTCACTGCATGTGTGTCCACTGCCATGATCTGACAGAATCAAATACAAAAACACACTGAATGACAATCTATGAACTCATGTATGTTACCTACAAGGTTCATGCAGCTTTAAAACACAATTGTTCAGATGCACAAAGCCTGTATCGTTACATCTAAATCATTACGGAAAATGGAACAATGTACAGAATTCCACAGCAATCAGTTTGTAACGTCCCTTTGTTTATTCAACCAGCTGTTTATACCTACTTTGATTGTAATCTAATATATATATTGGATTCAATTAGTGATTGTGTAAATGAAACTTCAGATTATTTTGAAATGTAAGCATTTCAAGGAGTTTCCTTTTTATTTGAGCATATTCCTAGCATTGAATACCTAATGTTTTCATATTTTCCAAACTTTGAACACTTTCTAATACCTGTGCCTACAGTTTTACCTGTATTGATTGTGGCAGTCAATCAGGTACAGTCAAGTTCAAATCAATACAAATGACGAGAGCTTTATTGCACTACTAGAGAAATGTTACGGAATCTATCCGCTGTAAGAAATGTACATTCAACTTGCTTTAAATGGTCTGACTGAGCTGACCCATTGGAAACTAGTTATTTTATTTATCTGAATTTGAATAAACCTTCAAGCTTCATTTTTATACTCTCTCTGTTCATGTACTCACGGCAGCCAAGCTCATCCGACTGGTCTCCACAGTCGTCATAATCATCACAGGCGTACTGCAGAGGGATGCACTGTCCGTTACTGCATTTATACTCATCATCTGTACACGGTCCATGAGTGGGACTTTGGCCTAGATGGAGGGAAATAAATTGACTGTGTAAATGCATGTTTAAAAAGTAAGACATTTAACTTCATTAAGATAAAGTACACAAATGAGACCATCAGCTACAAGCTATCACACTCACAGTTTTCCTGTCTCTCATCGGAGCCGTCTCCACAGTCGTCCACAGAGTTGCACAGCTCGTGGCTGTAGATGCAGCGGTTGTTGTCGCAGCGGAAACGGAACGGAGTCTCACATGTGATTTCCACTGTGGGTGAACAGGACAACTCAATCAAAAACTTAGAGCAAGAATTCAACACATTCATATTCAAATAGGGTGTCACATTTTTAAAAGGGACCATTTACCCTAAAATCTAAAAAAACACATATTGCATTGTACTCAAGAGAAAGCAGACATCCCTACTGATATCTCCAACACTCGGTAACCCAAACCAAAACAATCTAAATTGATAAAAAGCATGATATGTCAGAGGAAAAAATAAGTGATTTTGGGATGAGCTTTCCCTTTAATTTGGCCAGATTCTAATAAGCTTTTATTTTGTGTGTGCTGGACCTGGGTAGACATGAGTTTTAATGTTAGTTCTTACAGCAGAGGTGAAGCTCCTCATCTGAATTATCTCCACAGTCGTTGTCTCCGTCACATTTCCAATGAGGCTGGATGCACACGTGGTTATTGCACTCAAACAGGAAGTGGGGGCAGTATGTTCCGTTGGGAAAGCGTGTAGCTGAAAGTCAGAGAAAAAAAACTATTATTATAATTTAAATAAATGTCACTATTGAATGAGGCCATAATACAGTTACTGAAGCTATGGCTCACTGAAGAAAGTACTGCAATATGTATATAATTGTAGTATGCCTCTGCCACATTCCTTTATAAATGCTGCATAAAAGATACTGCTACTGCACTCCACACATTTCCTACCACGGCAGCTTTACATTACATCTGGTATTTCCAAAAGACATCAAGGATTGCTACTTTAAAACTCTCCTTTTGTGATTAAGACACACATTTTCACCAAAGCCTGCAAACATAAAATACTGGACACTTACGACAAGACATCTCATCTGTATAGTCGAGACAGTCGGCGTTGCCGTCACATTTAAAGCGTTCAGCGACACAGTGTCCACTGCCACACTGGAAGTAACCGGGATGACACGTCCTCAACTCTGCAACACAGATAAACCAGCACAAAAGGTAGCATCACAACAAATAGATGCTACTAATGGAAAGGCAACTAGCTTTTGTCATTCTAGTAAAGACACATTTATCAAGTTGTATAAAAGACTGTTTAAAGTCTCACAGCACCAAAACCTCTTTTCCCTCTTTAATCCTACATGTTAAATACTTTTTTATTCCATTTATCTCTTCTACAATAACTTCTACAAATGTGATGCTCGGTGAGACTTGAACTTTTAGAGTGAGTACACCATTTTGAATAGATGACTCTTGGTGGTCCTGTCTGTCTTGGCTTCAAAACGTAAAGTTTTATTGCTTCTTTGTTTAGTGCAGCCCTCCGTTACTCACAAACAGCCTGCGAACAAAGAGCCTCCACTTACCACAGTCCCTTTCATCCGAGTTGTCCTCACAGTCGTTGTCATGGTCACAGACCCAACGGTCGGGAATGCAGCGCAGATTTTCACAACGAAACTCGCTCTCTGTGCATGTGCGTGGAGCTAAAGGAAAACATGTCAACAGAAAGAGTGGAATCAAGCAAAGGCAGGACTTGTTTCATTACATAGACACATTAATCAGAGGGATGTCATGGGTTTTCAAACGCTGTCTATTATTTTCCTCTCTATTATGATAAAAACCAACAACACCCACACTCACACATCAGTCTGTGCAGCCGTTACTCTGCAGTGAGCTCACTGGAGACACACTCTCCTGGCATCAGTAACCAGAGGAGCGGTACCATCGTGATTTAACCCCAGCAGTCACTGTTCCTCCTTTGAGAAGCTACATTATCTCTATTAACTGGCATGTTCTCAGATATGTTTAAATTCTCCGGGGCAAAGGGTGACAGAGCCTCCACTCCCTCTTCCTGACACGCTGAGGACAGCCTGTTTCTCCAGCAGCTGATAAGACTACCTCTCTCAGCACTCCGGCAGAAGTGTCGAGCCTCTTACAAAACCTCCCTCCTGCCTGATAAAAATGATGGCAGGGCTGTTGTTTGCTATGAATCCTCCTTTTTCATTCGGACAACTCACAGGAGCTGAGGTAAAATCCCTAAGGAAACCTACTTAAACACATGATATCAAATCAGTGGGCCTCCTTCAATATAACTGTGTATAAATGTTCTTTCTTTACACACAATACAAGTTAAAAAGCAAAATGACCTTTGGATTAATGATACATGCGGACCGGCCACTTTTGTTGTTACCTCTACACTTATGCTAGTGAATCGATATTTGCAATGGACAAAGTGCCAAGCCCCCATTTATCTATAAAAGGAAATAAATGTGTCTAAATCGTATCGTAAAAAGCGGTGAAGCCTGGCCTTCATTTTCTAAGACTATCATTTGTGATAGATGTGTCGGTTCTAAATGTGTCTGCAGCGTAGGATCCAATACAGGTAAGAACATCTGGATAAATGTCTGGTGAACAGAGGGTTTAAACACTGAGGAGGCCGATGTCCCCAGCGTTACACTGTTCACAATCTTGACAGTACTCAAAGCCTAAAACAAAACGGTGTGATGTCGTTTCTCAGTGCCGGTGAACAGCTCTCACCACAGGTGAGTTCATCAGAGTTGTCCCCGCAGTCGTCATCTCCGTCACATTTCCATCTCAGAGGGATGCAGCGGTGGTTGTCACAGCGGAAATCTCCGTTAGCGTCACATGTCACTTCATCTGGGAGAGAAGCGGGAAAAATAAATCGGTCATCGTTTTAAACTGTTTATATAACTTGGTTCAACTTTTGTTATTTAAACACTCTTTTTCCTGTAGCCACTTGTTTCAACTTAAGAGAAGCTTAGAGTTTGCTGGGCTTACTCTGTTTGAAAAAGGTATATGCTGCTTAAACTTAAAATATGGGTTAAACTATGATAGATACAGTGAGGACTAAAACTCAATGTTGAGAAAAAAGATGATGCTCCAGTATATATCTCACTAATAGGAGCAACAACAGCACAACATGGCAGAGAATATTTAGGCGATTAAGTAATGATGAGAATTTCAGCTTGAAATGAATGGCATCTGTTTTTTTTATTAAACTCCAATAGATTTAGAAGGAGGAGAGCAGCGAACCCAGCACAGATGGGTGAACTCTATCTGTGCTAGTGTGTGTCTGTGGAGGATAAGACTGCAGGAGATGAGAAGCACAGGAGGGAGAGGAGTGGAGGAGAGCTGCTCTGAGCCGTCTCTACCACACAGTGCTGGGGGTCAAAGATAAGGCAGTGTTAGCTAGTCCTCCTAGCCCTCCACCTGGCCCATCTGCTACATTCTTACAGGAAGATTAGCACAGATCTCCCGTGCTGCGCCAGCATGGCACTAATGGAGCGAGGGCCTCTGATAAGAGACGGGAGGGCCGCGGCCGGTGTGTTTGGATCCTGGTATAAAGAGACTTGTGTGAACCCTGCCCCCACGCAAGGACCGAGCTGCAACACACTCACATGTATGTAGACTCAAAGCGTCGGACAGCTAATAAATCTGTGGTGCTCTTAGGGAGAGGCACATGGAGGGGGAAGGTTAGTGGTGAGACCTTCTCCATCAGCGACTCCCACTACCTCACTGTGTGACATTCCACAGGGGGCTGAGGGTGCTAATTGCCCCTCACTCTTTAAACACTTGTTTTTAATCTTCTTAGATCTCTGAAACCATCATTTTTCAGGACATAAAGTGACGAACAAACATAAAAGTATTAGTTATCAGTGCCGGGATATGAAATTGGACCCTAGTTCTCAGACTCACCACAGCCCTGCTCATCGCTGCTGTCTCTGCAGTCATTGTGGCCGTTGCAAACAGACCATAGTGGCACACAGCGGTAGTTGGTCTTGCAGTCAAACTCTGTGTGGTTGTCACATCGATGTGCCGGTCCCACTGTAGAGAAAACACCACCATTTAGAGAAGACAACCATCAAGAAAAGAACACAAACACTTCTCAGCTATCAAAAGAGAGTTTACGTTTACAGCCATCAAGTTAAGTTGCGATTTACATCCATGTCTGTCCAAAATGTCATCACTTAATCATTTAATCCTATTAGATATTTGTGATATATTGTCATCATTTGGGTATCAATTATTGAGTTATGGCCATGTGAGTTAATAGTGACCTTTCCCTTTGACCAGCAAATTCTAATTAGTCTATTTTTGAGTCCAAGACATTTGTGTCAGATTTGGAGAAAATCCCTCCATGCTTTCCTGGGAAATAGCAAACAACAGAAGGACTTTTTAAAAAACATAGAAAAATATCTATAGCTGGCCTGGAAGCTTAAAAGGTAAAGTAAGGGGGGGGAAGGATATTACTTACTGCACTCCTCTAACGGTTCATCAGAGTTGTCACCACAGTCATCATCTACATCACATTTCCAGTTTTGTGGGATACAGCGTCCGTTGCGGCACTTGAACTGTCCGGGGTGACAGGTCCTGGCGGAGCAATGGGCGGGGTCTTCGTCAGACTGATCCCCGCAGTCGTCCTCGCCGTCACACTGCCATGACTCGGGGACACACCGCTTATTCGCACACTGCCACTGGTGGGCTTCACACTGGTGTGTAGCTGTAGACAGAAGACAAATCAATCAGTTGACAAGAACAAATTGTTACATGAAGTCATAAGAAACAGACTAAAGGGGAACATTAAAGAAATTCATAATAGCTTTTAAAATGAGTCAGCTCAGAGAACACAACCCACCACACAGCACAGGGTCTTCATCGGAGCCGTCATGGCAGTCCTGGTGGCTGTTGCACAGGAAGTGGGGGCTGGTGCAGTTTCCATCGTTGCACTGAAACTGTCCGAGCCTGCAGTGGCGCGCCGGGCAGGTGGAGGGCTCGTCGGAGCCGTCTCTGCAGTCATTCTGACCGTCACATTTCCACCAGATAGGAATACACCTGTTGAAGCAGGAGGAACATGTGAAAGGTTAACTTCATTCCCTTTAACTAATCATGAGTTCATTACATTCAAGAAATATCTACTTACAACTCAAAAATGTAATAAAATATAAAAAAAGAAAATGTCTTAAGTGAAATGTGTACATTTTAACATCAATTAATAAGTTATTCTCCTATTTTATGTTGCAATATTATTCTTTCATCAAAGTTATAATGTAAACAATCATGTGTCACCCTTACTGATCTTTTTATAAATCTGGCCTATATGTACATTATGATTCAAACAGCAGGGGTCACTGTTTTACCATTGTAAACAGAGACTCACTGTACAAATATTTGAGTGTTTAGGAATTACAGGTGATGGATAAGGCAAGTTAACAGCCTATATGAATATTGCTACCAGGATTTTTTTCCTTCCTTAGTAAAGGAAAATAAAATAAAAACACACAAGGTTAAATCAGGACTAAGTCAGACAAACTTTTGTTGTGATAGAAAACTTACAATAAGTATAAATAAACTCACACAACCCCTTGTCTGTTCAGCAATGACCCGCTGATGTTAAAATGCAGCACCTTACATAAAAGCATCACAAGGAAAGAAGACATCTGGACAAACCGTTCATTGTTAGCACATCGGTACTGGGTGCTGCTGCACATGGGAAGGCATCGCGTCACACCTCCTATTTGGACAGTCAGGAAATGGTCGGGGCACTCACAGGTGTGTTCCCGCCCCCCATGGCTGATCAGACACAGGTGAGAGCAGCCTCCATTGTTCACCGCACAGGGATTGTTTCCTGACAAAGGAAGAGCCACACTTGGTCAAACAATCTCACATCCACACTGGTGACTACAGACAGGGATTGTTCTGCTGGTGTTCGATACCTGTATTTAAATCAACTTAAAAGTAGTAGTTTCTATTTGTTGACAACCATACTTGAGAAAATACTTGAGAAAATAGGAGCTGCCTCTTTAAGAAGGACATGCCAAGTTAACAAACAACTAAAAGGTGGTTTTACACAGATTTGAACTCACCAATGGGCTGTCTGTAAGGATGACACACATGGACGTCGAATGGTCTGTGAGTGGTGTTGACCAGGGACTGACGCCCAGAGCCATCGTATTTGTTTCCTTTCTCCACTGAGCGTGTGTTCCAGTCAGTCCAGTAAACAAAGTCCTCGAACACAGTCAGGGCGAACGGGTGAGGCAAATCTCCATCGTACACTGTGTGTCTGTGTTGACCATCCAAGTCTGAGTATCTGAAAAAAAACAAAAAACAGTTAGATGTCTCGCCGCATTTACTGTAGGGGAAACGAGTATGATCCCTGCCTGGTGAATGAACTCACTCGATGTAGCTGAGATGGGCATCAGACCAGTAGAGCTTGTCATTAGTGTAGTCGATCGTGACCCCGTTGGGCCACTCGATCTTGGTGGTGATGATGGCCGCTTTGTTGGTTCCATCCATTCCAACTCTACCTATAAAGGCTTTGTCTCCCCAGTCTGTCCAGTATACATATCTAACAGAGAGCCAAGAGAGTCACTTTAGATCACATGACATCTAAAGGATCAGAAACTATACTTCTGAAAAAAAGACTTTTACTTAGATTTACTTAGAAAAAGAGCCAGACTGGCACTAGCTGCTGACAGGGCTTTTTGACAGGGACATTTCAAATTTGGTTACTTAAGATTTGAGTTCAAGTTGACTGAAATCGCAAAAATGTGGATCGTTGTATAACGGTATTCAACAGTTTAGAATAATACATAAATAAATCATATTTCCCTTTAGTAACAAATTAAAGAAAATGAAAGACCCATAACCCTATGTGTTACCAATAACATTTAACAAGATTAAACTTGAATTAGGACAAAGAGTATCAACTTTGCATAATAATTCTGCATATAAAACATATTTTTCGCAACTTACCGAACTGCTATTTTTTCAAGACCATATCTATTAAATTACTTAATTTCCTCCTTGCTTCAAACTCACCCATATTTGGGATGCAACACAATGGCCCGGGGGTTTTCAAAGCAGTAACTGTTATTGGCATCAACGCAGTGCTCTGCCAGTTTCTTCACAAATCGACCATCCAGTTCAGATACTTTAAGACAATCCAGGAAGCTGTCGGCCCAGTAGAGTTTTCTGCCTATCCAGTCCACTGCGAGGCCCTCCCCATGCAGAACTCCATTGACCACCACCTCTCTGTTGCTGCCATTGAAGGACATCCTCTCAATCACTCTGCGGCTGACGTCAATCCAATAAAGACGCTTTTCAACGCGATCAAAGTCCAAGGCCACCACGCTGGTCAGGCCCTGCAGCATCATGGAGTAAGCCTGTCCATCCGTGGACAGGTTCCTCAGGTAGTAGCGGTTGCTGAAGATAAGGTAGGGCGAGATGTTGCTGTTCTGACGGCAGGTGTGGCCGTCCGGCTCTCGGAGGTATCCCGGAGCACACTTACAGATGTAGGAGCCCAGAGTGTTCTCACAGACCTGGCTGCACACGCTCGGGGTCTCTGCACACTCGTTGATGTCGTCACACGATTTTTTGTCAGACATGAGGCGGTAGCCGGGGCGACAGGCGCAGATGAAGCTGGTGGGTGTGTCGGTGCAATTGTGGTCACAGTGATGGATGGATGGATCTGTGCATTCATTGACACCTGCAGTCAAAGAAGCATAACATAGACAAGGTTATTATAACATCTTTCTCCTGTCTAATATAATGATAGAGAGATAGATAGATAGATAGATAGATAGATAGATAGATAGATAGATAGATAGATAGATAGAGATAGATAGAGATAGATAGATTGATAGATAGATAGATAGAGATAGATAGATAGATAGATAGAGATAGATAGATAGATAGATAGATAGATAGATAGATAGATAGATAGATAGAGATAGATAGATAGATAGATAGATAGATAGATAGATAGATAGAGATAGATAGATAGATAGATGGATATATAGAGATAGATAGATAGATAGATAGAGATAGATAGATAGATAGATAGATAGATAGATAGATGGATAGATGGAGATAGATAGATGGATAGATAGAGATAGATAGATAGATGGATAGATAGATAGATAAATAAATAGAGATAGATAGATAGATAGATAGATAGATAGATAGATAGATAGATAGATAGATAGATAGATAGATAGATAGATAGATAGATAGTGATAGATAGATAGATAGATAGATAGATAGATAGATAGATAGATAGATAGATAGATAGATAGATAGATAGATAGATAGATAGATAGATAGAATAGATAGATAGATGGATAGATAGATGATGATAGATAGATAGATAGATAGATAGATTGATAGATAGATAGATCGATGGATAGATAGATAGATAAATAGATAGATAGATAGATAGATAGATAGATAGATAGATAGATAGATGGATAGATAGATGGATAGATAGATGGATAGATAGATAGATACTTTATTGATTCCAGTTTGGGACATTCTTTCATCGCAGAAGCAGAAGTGTGTTCAGACTTTATAATATAATACTTAAAATAAGTGGAAAACAGATTTAAGAAATTCAAAATAAAATGAAAAAATGAAAAATATGATATAAATTATAAACAATATAAACAAAACAGTATAACAAATTCTGGATAGTTAAAATAAAAAGTCAAAAATACAAAATCATCCAAAATAGAAAAATTAAACAAATGTGAATGACTTCTGTTCTTGTATTTTATGCTTTAGGCTCATTATTCTGACCTTAGCTATAAATATAAGATGCTCAGACATAATTAAATTCACAGTATTATCCTAGTTAGGGTTAGGAAGCTCACAGAGTAGCCTAAATGCAGGAGAAAAAAGGAAAGGTTGAAAGGTTATTTTGTCCAACTTTTCAGAGATTTTCCTCCCACTCACCGCATCCCTTCTCATCGCTGTTGTCGGAGCAGTCGTCGCTTCTGTCGCACACTTTGCTCAGGGAGATGCAGTGTCCATTGTCACATTTAAACTCCCCAGGCGGGCAGGTGGGTGCTAGTGTGCGGCACACGTGCTCCAGCTCATCAGACTCATCCCCGCAGTCGTTGTCGCCATCGCAGACAAAGTCATGAGACACGCAGCGACCGTTCTGGCAGGTGAACTGGTGCTGCTGGCACGGCTGGTAGGTGCAGCCCTGCTCGTCACTGCTGTCCCCGCAGTCATTTCGACGATCACACCTGATTTTAGAAGACACTGATAAACTCACACTGCCAGATTTTTTGGGCCCCAAAGAATATTTCAAATTCTATCGGCAGATACTCAGCTAAATGCTGCCATGATTAAACACCATATCATGTTCCAAACCACATCAAGGATTATTTCTGAAACAGTATGGAGCTCAAATGCTTTTTCTCTCACGGGTTTACCACAAGGTGAGTTCCTTTTTTTATATCCTGCTTCTTTACACATACTCTCTCCAGTACAGGTTAGCTCTGAGTTTTAGCGATGCTTGCTAATGTAAAAAGACCATATTACTTCCAAAACGTCACGCATTGTTTCTGATAGCAACGTTTCTGATAGGGCCGTGGGCGTAAAGCCGGCCCACATTTCCGATATTACGTAATATCGACAGCAAGTCTGGATCATCTCCGTTGTCCCCCCCGTTTGTAAGAGATGTGGGTAAGGAGGAAAAGAGAGAAGGTTGTATTTTCGGACACTTTGTGAGTCTACTGACACACCGGGGACACATATTTATGTATAAAAGACAACAAAAAGTGCATTTTGCATGATAGGAGACCTTTAAAAGAGTTTCTCTAACCTGTAGGAGCTCCGTATGCAGAGGCCATTGTTACAGCTGAACTCATTGATGCCACAGGATCTGCGAGAGCAATTCTGATGTTCATCTAAAGCATCTGCACAGTCTGCGTCTCCATCACACACCCAGTCACGTGGGATACATTTACGCTGAGGGGGTTGGTTGTTCACACAGGTGAACTCTGCGCTTGTACATGTGCGATTGCCTGGAAAAAAACAAAATCAAGCAGAGGGAGACACCGGAAGTTAAATAATGATGGTGATGATCCAATGTCAACCTGCATTTTTGGCAATCCAAACATTCCAAACTGTATTTCAAAACATGGAGCCATGACTTGAAATTCCTTATCTGTCTAATGTGATTGATCCACATTGTTTGAAGTGAGTCTCCTACAGAGGCTCAGGCAGCGCCGAAGTCTTTAGCTTCAGGCATCTTATTGTTGGAGCAAACATTGGTGAGACATAGGAGTCTTGATCCACCCTGAGCCAGGAAGTCAGAGAAAGGAGACATGCACAAAGTAACGAGTGAGGCAGGAGAAATCAGGAATGTCAACTCCATCTACAGGAGACTACAAGATGCAGGGCACTGACTGTCAGTGTCTCCCACACAACACTCCCCCAGTGGTGAGTATCCTAATCCATCAGCGTCCTGAATAACCAGAAGATGAGGGAAGCAGGAGGGGGCAAGTGGAGAAGTGATGGGGAACAAGAGGATGGTCTAGAAAGGGAAGGAGGTGGGGGAAAAAAGGATGTAAAGAAAGGAGGAGTGGAAAGAGAGGAAGCATAGGCAGTAGTGAAAGGATGCATACCACAGTTATGCCTCTGGTCTTCGTCGCTCATGTCTCCACAGTCATTGTCCCCATCACAGAGCCAGGATGAGGCAATGCACCTGCCGTCATCACAGCGAAACTGATCTGTGTTGCAGGTTCTGATCTGTGTGACTGCGGGGGAAAATCACATCATTCTTTTTATTATTTTGTTTTCTCTCTTTTTTTGAGATTTCCAATTTCCTCAGGTACTTCCCCCACTGCTTTTCCACCAATAAGCAAGGCACAATACAACAGTGGCAAAGCTTTCAAAATAGTCATGGCAACTCCACATTCCCATGCATGGTGAGCTATCTAAACAAAAGCCAAAGTGAGGCTCTGTAACCCCTGATGGACAAAGGGAGGGGGAGGTGCTGTTTGTCGGAGGACACCGAGGGGCGTCACCACAGAGGAATGCAGCTCACAATGGGAGGCCTGACTGACCACATCGTCAACAAAGAAATACACCACTGACTCACACTCTGCGCTACATCACTCACAGCACTCTCCCACACCGACACACAGATGCAGACACAAACACACAATAACGGAGCAGCTGATAATGGGCGGGCACACAAAGCCTAAAGGCCCGTTTTTTTGGGGGGGGGGAGAGAGAGTTGCGCGACACTCACTGCAGGAGAGGGGTTCATCAGAGCCGTCGGCGCAGTCAGCCCCCCCGTCACAGTACCAGTGGGCGGGGACGCAGCGCCCGCTGGAGCAACGGAACTCACTCTGGGAACATGTGGATGTCTCTGTGCATGGGACGTAGAAAGGCATGAAATCACTTGATGGATTGGCAGTGTGGGAATCATGCTGATGGAGGGGGGTGGGGGGGAGACCCTTGTTTGTTTCTGACTCTTGGCTTCACTTTGGTTTTATTGTGAGGCATTCTTTTAAAAGAGGACAAAATGGTAATGCCATGCTTCTTCTATGTATGACCACAAATTATGTAAAAAGCGACTAAAGAATCCAAAAATAAATAAATAAATGAAAAACAGATTTAGAAAAATGTAATTCAAAAAGTTAAACCATAAATACGTTTATAAATTTAATGATAAAAATATTTTAACACTTTTCTGACTTTTTTTACATCTCTTCTCTCATAATTTAAGGCATATTAAAACATGTTTTACCAAGACTGAGCAAATTAAAGTTTTAATATGTGAAAATATTTGCATGTGTGTAAAAATGTGAGTATGGAATGCATTTTTATTTTTATTCTGTTCATTACCTGTTATTATATTTTGAGTCCGGTCCTTGAGTGCACCTGAATTTTGTTGAATATTTGTACAATAACAATAAAGTATCCATCTATCTATTTTATGGTTTTATTTACAATGACGGTAGATGCTACCAATGTTTGTCAGTTTTCACTCAATATTCGCTGTAAAACCCTCATAGTTTGGGAAAGGGATGCTCTTGCAGTGATTGCGATGGACTGTTTGACCCCAAAAATGCAATGCTTCACCTATGATGCATGTCAAGCCTAAGTTTTAGCAACCAACATTTGACATTTTCATAACGCACAGGTGTTGTTAATTATGTTTTTTAAAGCTCTGTCTTATTTAGCTTTTCTGTCCCATTTAACTGCCTTAGTGAGGAGCATTCTCAACACCAGGATACCCTTATTATAATGTAGCCAAAAGACATGTTCATGACTGTGACTTCATGAGATAAGTTTTACAATTAATAGTGAAAGAAAATATTATTTAGCATCACGAAAAAACACTGTATGCAGGACTCACCACAGTGTGTAGGGCTCTCGTCGCTCATATCCCCACAGTCGTTGTCTCCATCGCAAAGGTATGAGCGTGGGATGCAGATGTTGGTCGACTGACATTTGGTTTGCTCTGGCTGGCAGGTTCTCTCCGCTGTGATGAACAAAATGGATATTTACTATAAGTAATAAGAGGTTCATTTTGACATTTATCTTGATGATTTCTGTGGCAATGTTAAGATACTCACGGCAGTTTTGTTCATCAGAGGTGCCGTTGTCATAGCAATTGTTGATCCCATTACAAACATAGTCCTTTGCAATGCAGCGGCCATTGTTGCAGTCGAACTCTGTGTTGGGGTCACATGGTTTGAACAGACAGCTCGCCTCGTCACTATTGTCTCCACAGTCGTCGTAGTGGTCACAGCGGTAGTGATACGGCACGCATCGGCCATTTCCACAAGTAAACACTGTGGGCTCACAGGTGTGGAAGGCTGCCAATCACAATTAAGAACATGTCAGAGCTAAGGCCAATGGAGAGGTCCGATTAGAAACGCTGTTGAAACTCATTTTACCTGACAAGGCAATAAAAGATGACAGCAGCTGTGGGACTGCATGCAAAGATATAAGCACATTGATTCATTTGTTAGTGTTCATTTCTTTTAAAAGCGAAAAATTAGGTATGTTTATGTTATCGCGAAGAGCAAGCATACACACCAACAAAGTTGTTGAAGTCAGGTTTATGTCCTAAAACAGAATATTGTTAAAGCAGAAACAGAAAAAGTTGTTAGTATCAGTGAAGGTAAAAGACATAGAGTTGCATCAAGAGAGAAGAAATTCACTCATGCAGAAGGTGAAAGCGCTCTTTGAGGATAGCTAAAACTAATAATAATCAACCGTGAGATTTGACATAACAAAACAAAGAAGAAATGCAAATTTAAAAACAAATAATGATTAGAGCCCTTTTAAGAACATCCTACCACAGACTCTCTCCAACTCATCGCTTCCATCTCCACAGTCGTTGTCGTTGTCACATTTCCACTGGGCACGAATACAGCGGCCATTCATACAGGCGTACTGACCCGGCTGGCAGCGCGTCCCGTTATCAGGGATACAGTGCTTGTTGTCAGCCAGATACCAGCGGCCCTCGGATGGACACTGACACTCAGCTCCGTTGGGTCCTAACAAGATAACATTTCATCAACAGTCCATATAATCAGAGTCAAAGCTGCAATGATTGATCCACAGAAATGTAATTGGCTTTTTTTAATATTAGATTATCATTAAAGTAATGCACAAAATACTGCAAATGAATTGCTTATTCTAATCATATTAGAATTTGTAAGTTATTTTTGACAAACAAAATTACAAACATCAAATTACTGTATTTTCTGATATTTTAGAGACCGAATAATAACCTTAAAAATAATACATTTATAATTATATCAATAGCTAGAAGGATCCTTCCAATTGACAAAGGTTTTAAAACAATTAAACAATAATATGATAAAACAAAGCGTCAGTATGTGACAGTATGTACCGGGTGAGCAGATGTGGCTGCAGCCTCCATTAAACTGCTGGCATGGACTGTCACACTGTTGCTGCTTGCTGCTGGCCAGAACTTGGAGGTCCATCGGCCGAGATGGAAGGTTCTGGATCATGACCGTCTGGTCAGAGCCGTCGTGCTTGTTGGCCCGATAGATGCTGCGTGTGTTCCAGTCAGTCCAGTAGATGAACTGGCCAAACATGGTCATAGCAAAGGGGTAGATGGCTGTGCTGACGATGACCTCCCGATTGGACCCCGTGAGAGAGGATCTCTCAATCTTCTGTCTGATGGCAGAGCAAAGATAATGATAATAGTTGTAGTTTTACACGGTGAAACACTTCAGTATACATTTCAACAGTGGGATTTTTCAAATCTTACAAGCTAGCATCGGCCCAATACAGTCTCGCTTCTTCATAATCCAGGGTCAGTCCATTGGGCCACACAAGACTGCTGTTCACAATCTCTGTCCGGAAGTTTCCCCCTAAGGTTGCACGTTCAATCTTTGCATGGGTTCCCCAGTCTGTCCAATACATGTATCTGTGGAAGGGATTATTGTTTAATCTCAGTTAAATCTAATGAACAAGTGTGGAGTGTGTGTTGTGTGGGACTTACCCCCTGCAGGGATCTAACATGATGGCCCTTGGCCTCGACACATGGGCAACGATAGTCCTTTGAGCCCCATCCACAGACATGGAGTTAATGCTCTGGTTGACATAGTCACTGTAGTAGATTCTTCTGTTTATCCAATCATAAGCAATGCCATCCGGAGCCCCCAGATCTGACCAAACGGGAGGACCAAAGCAACATTAGCAATGGTGTCGGCACCTTCATAGAAAATATTAAATAAAAGTATATTTTGTTGTGTAAGTGTCAAACCTACCTGAAGCCACCTCTACAGGAGCTGTGGTGGGAGAGGACAGGCTGATGTAGCTGATCTTGCTTGCTCCTGCGCCTGAGCTCTGTGTGAAGTAGACCCTGCGGTCTGTGAGGTCAAAATCCAGGGCCACTGAGGTGCGTGGCACGTTTACCACAGGGAAGGGCAGCGCATGGTCCTCCGGGTCGAGTCGGAGGCTGCGCACAGTGCTCTCAGTCGTGTAGATGAGATAATCATCCCTTGACACCACACAGGTCGCATTGTCGGCTGCAAGATTCCCAAAAGCACAGCTGCACTTTTTGTTCTGGTTATCTTTGTCGGAACCGGGGAGGGCGAAGCAGAAGTGGGTACATCCTCCATTAGCCTCCAAGCAGGGGTTGTAGTTAAGCTCCTGGGCGGTGGTAGGCTGAGTGCGCTGGTCAAAGATTGTAACGTCCCTAAGCATGTTGACATTGTCTCTGATGACAGCAGGCTGCTCTGTGCTGCCGGGCTGATTGCTTGCTTGGAAAACCTTCTTCAGGTTTCTGTCCACCCAGATAATACTACTCTCAAACACTGCGATTCCATAAGGAGTGGGGTAGCGGCTGCCGTACCTGACTATCTCCGTCTCCCCTCCTTGAGGGTTGATTCGTGCAATCATATCCAGGGAGTCATCTACCCAGTAGACGTAGCCAGTCTGCCAGTCCAGAGCGAGACCTCGAGGAGTAATAATCCCTGATGACACTAAAACTGTGCGGTTGGTGCCGTCCAAGAGTGCTCGCTCAATTTTTGGGTTCTGACCATAATCCGCCCAGAACAGGTATCTGTTCCTGGGGTCCACCACGATGTGGCGCGGCATGTCCACCTGGGTCTTCAGCAGCACCCTGCGGAAAGTGGTGTTCAGGTGGAGCACCTCCACATACGTCTCAGTGAGGAAGGCGTTGGTGAAATACAGATTCCCTGAGGAAAGAATCCAGTTAGCCCAGATATTAAAAAGCATAAGATATTTATATTTATTTTAAGAAGAGGAGGTCATCATTCTTAAACTGCTGAGTATGATAGTAAAATGCTACTAGCTGACATTATGATGTTGCTTTTATTACCCAACAGATTTTCCGTTATTTCTTCATACATGAGAAACAATGAAACATTGCCCTGCCTGCAGCTGTCTCTTTTATTTTAACTATTCAATAAAATGGTCTTTCCTGGAACTTGTGAGGAACTGATCTCTTCTTTCTGTGAGTTCAGCAGTATGACAAAGCTTCCTGTATGTGGTATGTGTCACAGCCGGTTCAAATGAGTTAGGCTGTCTTTTGGGTTTCTTTTTTACACCCACAGTTAAGTTAAGATATTAATCATTGGGGGGAAATGTGGTTTATTGAAGATGCAAAAGGTATATAAGTCTGAAAGGTATAACACCATCAAGCCCTCAGAAACTTGCAGGGATGCCCAGATCCTGGGAAAATCTAGCAGAAAACAAATTTAGGAGAAGCACTAAAATCAATGCAGTGGGAGGATAAAGTAAAATGGC